TAATAATTTTATTTTGTAAAATCAGCAGTTCAGGGTCAAACTCTAAGGAAACTCATTTTAAAAATAACTCCCAAAAGGCATTAGTTGTCAAAAACTAAAAATTTTTACAATTTTTTAGTTTTTTTAATATCACAAAAATAAATAAATTTTAAAAATGTTTGTATTGCTAGTAATCTAAATCATGTTCAAAAGGCGTTTTTTACTACCACTACTGTTTTGAATTTAATTATTTATTTAAATAATCAATTATTTTTAATTTATGTAATGCGAACCATCTCATGCTTTATTTACTTTTTAAAATCTAATTAAAAAAAGTTGAAAAACAAGCAAACATTTAGCTATAAAAGAATCGCGTCAACAACAAGCTAAAATCATCAAAACAACAACAACAACCGCTCCTCAAAACCTCAAACTTGGAAAAACCTTTAAAACTTTTAAAATGATTAAAATGAAACGAGCTTTTACTAATCTTTCATTTCTATTCCTTTGCAGCTTTCTGTTTTTGGCCCTAGTTCAGCCATCAGTGCAGAAGAATCTCAATGCCAAGTCGGCATTGCTCGCCCGTGGAGAACGCCATCCAATCTCTCTGAGTGACCCCGGTTTAAAAGAAGCTTTGGAGGCTGTCAAATCGGAGATTTTTGTAAACTGCTCTAGACTCAGCTCTTTTTCGGCCGTTAAAGCTGAGGCTCGCACTGATGATCCGATTCGCTACTGGGCCACTGTGCTTCGTCTGGACTTTGAAGAGTTTGAAGAGCCTCCCAAAAAGAGCCGTTGTGAGGTGGTAATTGATAAGCTTCTCGCCCCAAAAGAGTATCACCTGAGCAGCATCAACTGCACTGCATTTTCTCGTAAAGAGGCGCCGGTTTATTTAAACAACAAAAAATCTAAAGAAGAATTTTCTGTGGTTTTACCCTAATGGTAATAGTAACTTTGTGTGGCAATTTAATGTAAAAAAATCAAAAACAAAAGTCTTAAAAACTGTTAAAATAATTTTAATAAAAATCCAAAAATAAACAAATTCACACAAAATTTAAAAGTTTTTTTGGGATTTAACTTTAACCTAGCATTTTCCCACTTTTTCACCTTCTCCTTCATCACCGGTCGCTTCAAAACTTTGAAAAATAGGCGTATTTTTCTTAACTACCATCTGATCGCAGGAAAAGTTCTTTAAAAAAACCTTCTTGTTTGCCTGGTCAAATTCTCGATTAATGGTCACTGTGCAGAGAAACTTCCGCTTGACGATGCAGTTGATCAGGCAACCTGATTTAGTGCAAGTGTTCTCGTAAAAGTCAAAGCTGGCTTGGTAGTTTAGTCCGGCGACCAGCTGCTTGCCGGCCGAGTGGATTTGCCCTCGGCGGAAGTACTCGCCGTTGTTGTTGTCCCCCTGATTCTGGTTTCCCGCATTGAGAATGGGCAGGTAGACGGACTCGACGAGGCGCAGCGATTCCAGCAGAGCAGAATCGTTCACTGGAATCGGCTCAAATTGGCCGGGTTTCTGAGGCAGTGGCACTGCTAGCGTGGTAGTGGCAAAGAAGGTGCCACACAGTGCTAGAAATAAAAGTGAAAATGATTGCTTCATGATTTTGCGATTTTTTCAAACTTTATTTTTTAAAGTTAGATGTCGGTAGCTTGAAACTGTTTAATTTGTTTCACTTTTATATTTTTTTAACCACAGTTAAGTACAAAACGACATTGAAGGAGTACCATTTTTAGTCAAAATTGAATTCAGTTGTTTTCTAATTAATTTTAAAAACTTTTAGTTTAATTTAAAACATTATCAATTTTTTATAAAAATGAAAAACTCAAGGATTCAACACACTTAATTGTTTTTCTAGTCCGTTTCATCGTCCTTGTTGCAATCGCGATCCTTTACCCAGTTAGTTCCATTGGAAAAAATGAAGATTTCGGCCTGGCAAAACTGTGCATCATTGCAGTGCTTTCCAAAGCGTTTGCCACACTTAGGGTGACGGTGCACCTTGACTCCCACCCGGTAGGTTAGCTTGCTGCTCACCTTAAGCTGGGCGTACATGATATCGACAACTTTAAAGGGCAGATTCTTGACAATCGCCTTCTCATTGTCCTTCAGCGCTCGCCACAAGCCTGAATCGTCCTGGGGAATGTCGTGCAAAGAATGGTTACCTGGCCAGTGGTGAGAGTACTTGCAGCTAACTTGGTTCAAAGAAAGGAAACAGGTAAACATAATAAAAAAGAGGAAAATGTTTGAGGTCATTTTGACAAGGTAAAATTGGTGTTGTTTTTTATTTTTAAATTAAAATATAAAAATTACTTGTTGTTGTATTTAGTTTTTATAACTCGTCACTTTTTCAGTCAACCAGCAAGGCATTTAATTTTAACCTTTTAATTAAAATATTATTTTGAAACTTGATTTGTTTTTATTGTAGTTGCAAAATCTCCTATGTTTTTTAAAAAAAATAAATTGTGTGCAAAAAACATTAAAACAGTTGTTTAGCAATTTTTTTTTAAATTTTGCAATTTAGCTATTAGTTAAAAATTGATTTTAATTTTAAATTTAATTTGTTAAAAAATAAACATAAAAACAATCCACCTTAATGTTTTTACATTCAACTATTTTGCTAGCAAAATTTACTGCGTAAAATAAAATTCCTATTTTTGGTTTCTACAATCAAGACCGGTAAATTCCAAAGGCTCAGTAGACGGCGGTTGAAAAAATCCGGCAGAGCAGATTTTTAGCATCTCTCTGCACACTATTAGGCCAGGCGGCTTTTTAGTTGCTGTTAGCATCTGCTCACAGAAAGAAAGCTTCTGGTAAAGCTCAAACTTGATGGTGGTTTTAATGCCAGCGACGACCTGTCTTTTGGCGGAAATGACATTTCCCAACCGATAGGAGATGTTAGTGATGTTCAGCAAGGCTGGAAACTGGTGTTCCACCTTGTGAAGCATTTTCAACAGTTCAGGATCCTTTGGATCAATGTCGTACTCACCGCCAGGAAGAGATGGCGGTTTAGTGTGATTGTGCGTGAAGACGACGCCGAACAGGACGACGGTGGTAATTAGAAGACAGATGTAAGTCATTTTTTTCAGTTTTTGTTAAAAAATCAACTTAAAATGGTAAAAAATGAGAAGTAAAACTGGTGTTTTTATAACACAAAAATTTTCAAATTTGTTTCAACTTTTAGCACTAAAAACGATTCTAAGGCTTTCAGTGAAATTTCTCTACTAGTTTTTAATTAACTTGACATTGTTTCAATTTTTAATTTGTGCTGTGGTGGTTGAAGACATTTGTGCACTACAGTGTGTTTTAATGTAAGTGCACCTTCAAACTTGGCTATCATCACTTCAAGGACGAAGAAGCTAACAAGACGCACACACACCCACACTTGCAACAAAAGCTTCCCATATTTCACATTTCTCCCTCTTTGTTGCAATCCCGATCCTCCACATGGTTAGTTCCATTGGGGTAGACGGTAATGGTGGCCTGGCAGAACTGCTCATCAAAGCAACGATGTCCAGCACGTTTGCCGCACTCAGGATGGCGGTGCACCTTGATGCCGGTGTCATAGTGCAACTTACTGCTCACCCTTAGTTTGCCGTACATGACCTGTATGACCTTGTAGGGCAGATGATTGACAATCGCCTTCTCATTGTCCTTCAGCACTCGCCACAGGCCTGAATCGGTAGCGGGAATGTCGTGCTCAGAGTGGGGACCTGGCCAGTGGTGGGAGTATTTGCAGCTAACTTGGTCCAAAGTAAAACAAGTTAGACACATCAGCATGAAAAGGAGGAAAGTGTTGAAGTTCATTTTGACAATGTAAAATTGGTGTTGTTTTTAATTTTTGCAAAAAGTCATAAAAATTAAGCGTTTTTGTTTTCGGTTTTTATAACAAACCACTTTTTCAGTCAACCAGCAAGGCATTCAATTATAGCTTTTTAACTAAAATAAAATTTCCAAACTTGATTTGTTTTTTTGTAGTTGCAAAATATTTAAAACTGTGTGTGTACAAAAAACATTAAAACAGTTGTTTGGCAATTTATTTTTTTCAAATGATTGAAATTTAGCTATAGTTAAAAAATAAATATATTTTTAATTTTATTTTGAAAAAATAACGAAAAAACAGTCCACTATTATGTTTTTAATTATTTTAATAGCAAAATCTGCTCCATTAAATAGAACTCCTACTTTTAAATTTTACAGCTAACACCTGTAAGTTTCAGAGGTTCAGTAGTCGGCGGAAGAAAAAAGCTGGCAAAGCAGATTTTTAAAGTTTCTTTGCACAGATTTAAGACCAGTATTTGGGGAAAAACTGCCTTTTCAGTTGTTGTTGTTGTCGGCATCTGCTTACAAGAAGTCGGCTGCTGGTAAAGCTCAAATTTGATGCTGGTCTTAACCCCAGCGATGACCTGTCCCTTAGCGGAAATGACATTTCCCAGACGGTAGGAGATGCCGGTAGTGTTCAGTCGGGCTGGAAACTGGTCCTCCACATTGTGAAGCATTTGTAGCAATTCAGGATCCTTTGGATCAATGTCGTACTCACCGCCAGGAATAGATGGCGGCATAATGTGATTGTGCGTGATGACGACGCCGAACAGGACAACGATGTTAATTAGAAGACAGATGTAAGTCATTTTTTCCAGTTTGTTTAAAAGTAATTTGAAATGATAAAAATAAAAAATAAAACTCGTCTTTTTATACCACAAAAATGTTTAAACTTTTTTCAATTTTTAGCAATAAAAACGTTTCTAAGGTTTTATCAGTAAAACTTCACTATTTTTAATTTATTTGACATTGTTTTAATTTTTTAGTTGTGTTTTAATTAGCACAAACTACAAACTTGTTCTAATTTTACATCAATTAATTTTTAAGCACAAAAAACTTTGAACTTTTCTAAATTTTTTAAAAAAATTAGCATTAAAAACGTTTTTAAAAAAAGTTTAACTTGAAACTCAAAGTAAAAAGACTTTATTTTAACAAACTTGCAATCAAAGAGTACAATACAAAAATGGGGTAAAAATGCGTATCATCATTTGCAGTCTATCGAAGTCAGCTCATAGGTGGCGTCAACCTTGGCCCAGATGGTCGCCTGACAGAGACGGTCTTGGCTGGTGCAGCTTGGGCCACTGTTGAATCCAACACCTAAATAGTAGCAGGTTTTTTGCGTCAACGTCAGCTTCACCTCGTAGTTGATGCCGGCCACAATCTGCGACCGGGCCGAGTTGACTTTGCTGACTTTAAAAGTAGAGGTACTGTTTAGCTTCTTTCCAAAGCTGTCCTTGACCGCGTTCAGCGCCTTCAGTAGGTCTGGGTCATTGACGTCGATGTCGTGGAAGCCACCATTATCTAGATTAGGACGGGGAGTGTTCTTTTGGGCAAAGACGACTGAAACCAAAAAGAGTAAGATCAAGATACTTTTCATTTTGAAAAATCAAAACTTTTAGTGTTGTTAGAAAATAAAACACAAATGTGAAGGTAAAATCTACTTACAAATTTTCTCTTTTATACTTAAAAATTTTAGTAGTATGAGTGCTTTTAATTTGCAAATTGGCAAGGTTGATTTGGTAGTTTAAAAATAAGCGGAAAAATGGTAAAATTTGTCAAAAAAAATATTTAAAATTACTGCTTGCTATTTTCAAGGTCAAATTTGATCCTTTTCTATTTTTAAAATTATTTTCGTTTTACTATTTATCAAATTTTCTTGATCATCTGCAAACATTAAAGTCAAATTCTAAAATCCTCAATTAATTTTTTAACACTAAAAACTTTTAACCTTTCTACGTTTTTTAAAATTAGCATTAAAAACATTTTTTACATATGTAAGAGCTTTCAATAAAATTTAAACCAAAATTCAAACAGTGCACAAATTTTATTTTAAACTTTCAAAAATCAAAAAGTACAATACAACAAAAATGGGGTAAAAATGCTTATCATCACTTGCAGTCCATCGACCTCAGCTTATAGGTGGCGTCAAGCTTGGCCCAGATGAACGCCTGACAAAGCAAGTTCTTGCTAGTGCAGCTGGCGCTACTTTTGTCTCCGAAACCTTTAGCGTAGCAGTCTTTCTGTGTCAGCGTCAGGTTCACCTCGTAGTTGATACCGGCCACCATCTGCGCCCGGGCCGAGTTGACTTTGCTGACTTCGAAAACCGAGGAGCTGTTTAGCTTCTTTCCAAAACTGCCCTTGACCGCATTCAGCGCCTTCACTAGGCCTGCGTCATTGACGTCGATGTCAAATAAACCACCATGTTTAATTTCAGGACGGGGAGTGTTCTTTTGGGCAAAGACGACTGAAACTAGCAAGAATAGAGCAAGTGCAAAGAAACCTTTCATTTTGAAAAATTTCGAAAAAAAATTTCGGTTTTTAGTGTTGTTAGAAAATGAAACACAGATCCGTAAATAAAATTCACTTACAAATTTTCTCTTTTATACTTGAAAACTTGAGTAATATGACTTTTATAATTTGCAATTTGCAAGGTTAATTTAGTGATTACAAAAATACGCAGAAAAATGTTGAAATTAATAAATATCGAAAGTTAAATGAATAAAAAAATCAATCACAAAGATCACCAAAAAAGTTTTTTCAAATTACTTTTAGCAATTTTACAGCTAAAATTAAAAAGTCACATCTGATCTTTTCTTTATTTTTAAAATTTTGTTCATTTATTATCTATTCAAATTCTTTTGATCATATGCAAACATCGTGAGTTACTCTGAAATCATCCCACAATTAAATTCCAAATCAGATTTGAATTTTTTCGTGGAACGTCAGTAGAGGACGTACAGAGCAAAAAATCCCAAACAGACTGTTTACCTTTGCTGCTCAACTTGTCTTGTTGTTTGTTCTTGATTTTTGCATCATTTGCCGCCATTTCATCATTAAAAAATATTTCAGCATCGGTTGATCAATCATCCATCCATCAAATGGCAAGCACCAGCAAGAAGGATGGCCAAAAGGCAGAAGACATCAGAAACAAGACCGGCGGCGCCTACCTTCCGCCCGCCAAGCTTCGACTGCTGCAGGACAATATAACCGATAATAGCAGCGAAGTTTACCAACGTTTGACCTGGGAGGAGCTGAAGAAGCGCATCAACGGCCTGATCAACAAGGTGAACATCACCAACATTGATATGGTCAAGAAGGAGCTCTTTGCTGTCAACCTGCTTGACGATCATTCGCGCTCAGGCGGCATCGCCCACTTTAACCAATGCTTACGCCGCTCTGGTGGCCGTTTGCAACACAAAGGTACCAGAAAAAAAAGTTACTAATTCTTAGATCTAAAAAACTTAAATATTTTCTCTTTCCCTCTCCACAGTTTCCCAAAGTGGGCGAACTCCTCCTCAAGCGGCTGATTGTCCAGTTTCGGCGAACTTATCAACGCAACGAGAAGGCGAGCTGCATCA